TGCCGAAGCCGTTCCTCTGCCGCCTGGCGGTCCAGAGTTAAAGGCGCAAGGTCGCCGTGTGAGCAGGTCGACAACTAAATCCCATTCACTGGGCTACTGGAGAGGCCCTCCTATACTGCTGCATGAAGCTAGAGCATTCTCCTACAGGCAGTACGGTCGAAAGGCCAGCCAGCATCGCCTCGGATGAACCACTGTTCAAGGTAACCAATGACGATAAAACCCAAAGCGACATAGCAGCGTCGGTCTCAGTGGAGGCATTAAAGACAGAGGGTACCAGGGAGTTCGTGACATGGGATGGCCCAGATGATCCAGAAAATCCCAAGAACTGGTCGTACGCCTACAAATGGTGGGTGACTGCCATTGTATGCATTCTGTCCCTTGACGTGTGAGTATCAGTTGTCCATAAAGGATATTTGTGGACGATGATAACTCACACGAATTCGTAGGACGTTCGCGTCAGCTGCACCTACGTCCGCACTTGGCTTTATTGCCCGCGATCTACATGTCTCCGCGGAGACCGCAAACCTGGTCACAACAGTTTTTCTTCTGGGCTATGTTGCCGGTCCTCCTCTATGGGGACCTGGCTCTGAAGTCCTTGGACGAAAGTATATTTCGCTCTTCGCAATTGGCGCATATGCTATCTTCAATATTGGCCAAGCGCGCGCGCAGAACATTGGCACGCTCCTCGTTACTAGATTTTTCGCTGGTGTCTTCGGGTGTGCACCATTAACCAACGTAGGCGGAATTGTCGCGGACATCTGGGATCCTGTCGGGGGCGGCCATGCTTTGGGCGTCTTTACCGCTAGCGTCTTTATCGGACCCGTACTGGGACCTATCATCGGGGGATAGTGCGTTCCATCAGCTTTGTCTCGTAATATCAGAGGATTGATACGCAAATGATATACTAGCATCGCAACTAGTCACCTTGGATGGCGATGGGTTTTTTGGGTCTTGTTGATTTCTGGTGGAGCCTGCACGGTTTTTGGCTTCATATTCCTGCCCGAGACATATGCGCCGACATTATTGGCCCGGAAAGTTAGTCATCTCCTTGTTTTTTTGGGATGTACTGACTAATGTCATGAATCAGGCCCGGAGACTGAGGAAGCTCGATCCCGTGGCGAACAAAAACATGTTCGCAGAGAGCGAAAACAAGAAGTGGACCTTGCGCGAGCTCTTGCGTTCGACAATCATCCGACCATTTACGATGATAGTTTTCGAACCAATTCTCCTACTGGTGACCCTCTACATGTCCTTGGTATATGGGATTATCTATGGCTGTGAGTCGCACAAATAAAAGGGATGGAAAGCAAATACTAATATAAGGCAGTGTTCGAGGCGTATCCGCTCATTTTCATCGAGAAGCGGGGTCTTACAATTCCCCAGACCGGCCTCGTTTTCATTGGGGTCGGAATTGGCGCAGTGCTCGCTATCGGCGTTAACTGGTATTTTTTGCGGCCGTACCCACGACTACTCAAGGAATGGCGGGGTTTCCCACCGCCCGAGAATCGCTTGCCGCCTTCGATGATCGCGGGGCCATTGCTCGTCATAGGAACTCTCTGGCTGGGTTGGACGGGGAACTACGCGTCCATTCCTTGGTACGTTCCGGCGATCGGCTCGATTCTGGTTGGGATGAGCATCATCCTTGTATTCATCTCGTTTCTGGTGAGTCGCGAGCGACAACATTACTTCTATTATGCGAACGAGGTGTATTGATATTCTGATCTATGATGAAGAGCTACGTCGTTGATGCGTACTTGATGTATGCGGCGTCTGCATTCGCAGCCAATACCATGATCCGGTCTGGGGTCGCTGCGGCGTTCCCACTCTTTACGACACAAATGTTCAAGGGTGTAAGTCAATTCACGAATAATCGGGAATTATTGTTGTGCAGCGTTGGACTTACGTGACCAAACAATCGCAGATGGGCATCAACTGGGCGGCGACACTTATTGCCGGGTTTTCACTTTTGCTCTCTGCAGTCCCATTCATTTTCTACAAATACGGACCACGGATTCGCTCAGGAAGCAGCTTCGCTCCTTGCATGGTGAGTCCGGGGAATTCCCCGTATTACGTCGGCGAAGCGCTCACCTAGACACAGGACCTGAAGATCGCAAAGGAGTTAGCCGCCGAGAGAGAGAAAGAGAGGGAAGAAGTATAGGCACGATTGCAGGGCTGATGGTTGATGCCACTGGCACTGGATGGCCTTCAGTTGCATGATATCATTTCAGTCTAAGACGCTCTCTCAGGCTTAGGACAGTTCTGAATTTTGCCATCATATGTACGATAATACTAAAGCACACAGCATCTTGTTTACTCATCCCAAATATCGTAGCACCATCACTCTTATTATAGAATGTGGAATAAAGTTGTGACTGTCGCCAATGATCGGCTTCCGTTCCGGGGCTCCCACGGTGACTTGCCCTTTGCAGACACTCGTGGTGCTGTAATCCTCTCGATTATAATATAGCGGGCTCTGCTGGCATTGTCAGTGCGCATCATGATTCATAAGACTCAGCTTGTTATGTGATCTTCCTGCTTTAATCCATCAGAGTAATTCATCAGAGTGAGTTATTTCGCCCTTCATCAATTCCTTGCGTCTTTCCATCACCCGGTGTCGCGTTGTCTCCCTTACTATCACCTGTAACACCCACGTCGTCACAGTTAGACTACAATGGAAAAACAAAAAGCTCTCGTGTGTACAATTCTCGACTGTCTCAGTGGCCTCCTTATCGTCGTTTCAAGGTTATCGACAATGGTTCTGGCGCATGCAAAGCTGGTTGTGAGTCGCGTTGTCCATCATAACTTCGGCGGCTAATATTTTTCCTCAAGTTTCCGGTAAGACTTTATCTGAAGCTCCTATGTTCATTTTGAGCCTATTTGTTAGCGTAGGTGATGAGGCTCCTCATGTCAGTTTCCCGTTCGTGCTCCTTTCGTTCTCACTTGACCCGCAGCTATTCATGCCGTTGCAATTAGGCCGATCGTTGGTCGCATCAACCTTCGCCATCAAGATTTTATGATAAAAATGGGTCGGAAAACTTCCTATGTGGGGTTAGTAGTCGTACTATGACGATCGGACTGCTCACTTCAGCTTTTCTAACATCCCAAAGTTATGAGGCCCACTCTATGCGTGGTGTATTGAAGTTGAGGTATCCCATCGAACATGGTATTGTCACCAACTGGGATGACATGGAGGAGATCTGGCGTCACACGTTCTATAACGAGCTTCGAGTTGCTCCCGAGGAGCACCCGACCTTGCTGGCTGAAGCCCCTCTTATCCCGAAAGCGAACCGCGAGAAGATGACGCAAATTATGTTTGAGACCTTCAACGTGCCAGCTTTCTATGTTGCCATCCAAGCCGTCTTATCGTTGTACGCATCGGGGCGCACGACGGGTGTTGTCCTTGATTCCGGTAACGGGCATCGCATACGGTGCCCATTTATGAGGCTTTGCGCTTCCACACGCCATCCATCGTCTGGATATTGCCGGTCGTGATGTCACTGAGTTACTGGTCAAACATCTGATGGAGAGGGGTTATGCGTTTACGACGACTCTCGAGCGTGAGATGGCACGCGGTATGAAAGAGAAGCTCTGCTACGTTGCACTTGATTTCGATCGGGAGTTGCAGACGCCGGCTCAATCTCCGACGATGTATGAGCTCCCAGACGGGCAGATGATTACGTTTGGCGGTGAGCGGTATGTCTTTCTTTCTTAGAAACGGATGCCCTGAATTGATCAGGTTATTCATAGATTCAGTTCTCCGAGGCGCTCTTCCTGCCGTCCTTAGTTTGTTTAGAGGGTCCTGGTATCCACGGGCTACGTGAGTTGGGCCTGAGAGGTATCAAAATTGGCCTAATCTGTTGTCTCTATTCAGATCCAACTCAATCTCGAAGTGCCACCTCGATATCCGTCGTGACCTCTATGGCAACGTCGTGCTCGCTGGGGGCACGACCATGTTACGTGGCATCGCAGACCGTATGCAAAAGGAATTGACGTCGCTCTCTCCTTCTGGTATGAAAGCGACGATTGTTGCACCTTCGGAGCGCAAGTACTCTGCCTGGATTGGTGGATCTATTCTCGCATCCCTCAGCACCTTCCGCAATTTGTGGTACTCTAAGAAAGAATATGATGAGTCGGGCCCGGGTATCGTCCATCGTAGTCAGTTTCCTCGTCCCGCGCGTGTTATTTGACCATCGCTACTTAATGGTTGTACAGAGTGCTTCTGAGTATTTATTTCAGGACCCATGGCTATAGTGTGGATGTGGCAAGGATATGCTTGTTCGTGTCACTTCTAATTGCTGCTCTCAGCTCTTTGTCGGATAATCTGGAAATGTTCGATGGCCTATCCGTTTTCGATTGGAAAGCTCTGATACGTTCTTCTCAGGTCACCTGTTCGTTCCGGCTGTTTTTTGAGAACTGAACACGGCAACTCTAACATAGCAAGCAACGAGGCGGATCATACGTTTGCATAGGTTCGCTCGAGTCCCTTCTCGAAACGTGAAAGACAGGAGGCAATTCTCAAATTGTGAGAGGGATTTTGCACGTTAAAGCATTAGCGTCTGGTTAGACATTGGGGACTGTAATAATCCACTAAGGTAGCAGATGCCACAAATAACGACGCTACGCAGCTCTATCTCAACGCTCTGTCATGACCGCTCAGGTTGCCAGAAAACAACCGCAATCTTTATCATTACTCCTCCGCTTTGTGACGCCTTGTGTCATAGTGTTATTTATGCTTGCGCTTGGCTGGGGTTGGTGGGGTGAGTGCTTGGTACTTGAAGCGGTAGTGTTTCCGTAGGATGTCATTTACGTACCCAAGCGTACGTGGGGGAGCAGGTGCGGGGTCCAGTGTGGGCTGTGAATATGTGAATAGGTCACCTGCCCGGCCCATCAAACCGCCGGGATTATGCATCAAATTCCGGTGGCTGATCAATGATCCACCTGTTTTCACAAGGCAACCTCATTCCTCACAACCCCAAAAGCATTAATTAGAAAGACAAAAATGGACACATCCGGAATTGAACCGGACACCTCTCGCAGATTACATTGCTAAGCGAGCGTGATAAACCATCTACACCATGTGCCCCTGACTTTGTCACCAAGACAATATGTATGTGAAACCCAAAACAAATTACCTCGAAATAAATAGGCAAATAAACTAGGATATCGTCCGTTGTATCGTACACATCCCTTCTGAGTCCCAAAATTCACTGCGGACGCCAACTGGGACAATAAAAAGGTCTTCAGGGTCGTATGCAGCTTTAATCTGTTCAAGGCGTGGATACTTGGAGCCGAAGAACGTGACGCGGAAGTCTGGCTCAAGTACATCGCCCTCGTTCATATAGCTGCCACTAGATTCGCCACCAGCAAGCCCTGCGAGCGCTGGTCTAGCTATTGCGGTAAAATTCCTTCGCAATGCCTGTACGTCCGATGCGGACAAGGAACTGTCCCAACGCTGGGTGGCAACCACCTAGTAGAATCTGTCAAAATTTAGCCCGGGATATTGGGGAGGATGCTCACATGGGTCTTTGCCGTTCGCCATGCAGGATTTACTGCTGAATCGATGTCGGCGTTGGCAGCCACTTGGCCTACGCGAATAATGAGCTTGAAATACGACTACGGGACATGAGGAAAACGCACCTCCTGCGACGATGTGCCCAAGGATTGATTGTATACCCTGCGAAAGAAGCTGCTTGTACGCAGGACCTACGCTGCTCGGCGCATCGGAATAGACGCTGCCAGGAACAAGGCGAGAGCTAAGAATTACGTTGTACCCAGATGCGTCGTCTTGGAATCCAACGATATCATTAGCAATCGTGGTAACGGTCGACTCCCCTGAACAACTACCCCAAGTGCGGCTACGTCAGCCAGAAAAGAAGACATCTGGGCCTTGCTAGCGTCGCTGTCAAGATCTTTGAAGAGGGTGGAAACGGCAAGCGTGCTGTTTGATGTTGACCCCGTCAAGTAGAAGTACTGCCCAGCCCTAACCTCATTCCAGTCGTTGACATGCATGGCGTGTGTGTTCATCAAATTGCATGTCTGGTCCAATGTCGCCGTCAGGAGATTCACAGTGTGTAAAGTCACGTTGAAAATGGGCAGAGTGCGGAGAGTGGCATCGATGATCACACCCCAGTTACCAGAACCGCCCCCACGCATAGCCCAGAACACTAGAAGGAAGAAGAGACGAAAGAATCTATGAGAGGCATCACAAAGCGCAAAGCTGCAAATATCGTACAGTCGGGGTGGGAGACAGAGTTTACGGTCACGAACGACCCGTTCGCCAGAACAACGCTAAACTCTGAGACGTTGTTTCAGACGGGTTAGAGAGAAAGTGGCACCCAACCACGTACGGAGAACGTTGTCCGCTGCCAGCCCATAGAGGGGTGAGAACCCGGAATGTCCGGCACCTTGGATATATCCGCCTGCCGGAGAGACAGTGGCAGCGGTGCCGCCAACAAACATTTTATTTTGTGCCTTGGTCGCATCGTAGAGGGTCTTCAGGCCAACACCGGAACCAACAGTCACAGCGGACCCAAGATCTGAACCAGCGATGGAGAAATGGTCTGTAAAGGTAATGTTCTTGAAGTAGGCGGTCCAGAGAAGTAGGGAATTCTTTGCAGTAGAACGGCCTAAGTAATCATGGCCGGAAGATTTGATAACAACACGAAGGTTGTGAGCCTGGGCGAAACTTATACCCGCCTAGAAAGAGGTGAGCAGCTGCAGCTGTCGAGCTGGAGAATTCATGAACCTGAATATGTGGGGCAGATGTGGCGTTTACCGCATAAAGAGAGACATCTCCCTGCGCGCAGCTACTGCCATTACGTAGACAGAGCTGTGGTGGAGGGCCGTAATCCTGTCATCGTGATGACGTTTGATGAGTGGAATGGATGCCAGGTTGGGTACGCATTACCTGTTCCCAATTGTACTACGGGCGCAATAAGGTCATCAGCGGGAAGAATGGCCAAGTCAAGATACCAACAGCATTCATAGACCCAGGAATGGTTTGTCGGAAAACGCCGCTTTCCCACTGCGCCTCTGTGCAGCCCAACTCAGAGCACGCTTTTGCAGACGGCACGACATTGATTAGCCGTCCGTTGATAGTGTCATTCAAGGCGGACCAGTCCGCCGGGGAGGGATAACCAGGGTCACCAGGTTGGTTGCGACACCACGCATGAACGAGAGGTGAGCCCCAAAAAAACACCAGCGCCGCACTCACGGCCACCGAACGGAGGGATAGAGGTAGCATTACCCAGAGCAGAGGGAGGGGAGGAGGAGGCGATATAGTTGCCATACAATTTCATCTTAAATAACCCGATGGCTGGTTATGGTGCAGGTGGGTGACGCCCCCCATCCGGGGATGGACGGACTCGGACGTCTGAGTGAATAGAGCTGTGAGGCAGACTCCATACAGTAATGCTGACGTAGACACAGCGGAGCGGCCTATACTGTATTCCGAGTCGGCATTTGCTGGCGGGTGATAGGGTGATCAATGAGAGCCGGGGGTTTGGGCAACTGAACTGACAAGGCTTGTCTGGTATGCGCGTGGATCATGGTGCGGTGAACTTCGGTCATTTTGGTTAGTCGCTTGTGGCAGACAGATAAAACGTGAAATTTGCGCGTAAATTTCAATCCATATCCAACCTACCACGTGACGATATATCAGCGGCGCTACGATAACTGGGCCGAGCTGGGGACTCAAATTTACTCAAATTTCAAGGCACTTGTTGCTGGTCTGTGCTTTGGCGGTAGACATACGCATAGCGCAGCCGCACTAGCGAGCTAGCGGGGTTCGGGAATGCCGAATCGTGTCCGCAGCGATATGGCTGTGGATGTGGTATCCACTTCACACGGACCGGCATTTTCTCACAGCAAATCCCGGCTGGGCTCGTGCCCTAGTGACAACGCTGGAGCTGTCTGCTCGACCCATATGCTGCTTCTCCCCCCTGTCACCGGTGATTCATTTACCGTATCAGGTCCTCTCCCAAGACGTACTGTATGCCGTTAAGCGAGCCAATACATTTTTCACGTCCACCGGAGGTAGTTCACCCCGGTCAGTGTGACCCGCGGTGGTCCTGCGCACTCCCACGGACACCATTTCTGGTTATAACTTCCGGACTGTTGCGGCAATAGCGAGGCTTATCGGTCACCAACAAGCAAGTTCACAGTAAATAACACCCACACTGAGCGTGGTTCTCCTCAGTGGTAAGCTGATCATATACATGGGGCAACATCTTCATCCCTTTGGCATCATACGCCGTTTCCTGCGCCGTCTATGTAACGTACATTTTTCAGCAGGGCGATTGGTTAGGCAAGGTTTCTCGCTTGCTCCTTCCAGAGTTTACGTGGAACATCCTAGAGAAGAACTTCTCCAAGGAAGACGCACAGAGAGTTCGTGAAAAGTCAAAAGTCCCGTCGCCGGTGTGGAAAGCATGCCCACGAGCGCGATTCCTTACACGAGGACCATTCTATAGAGAAGTTGCCTGATACAGGATCAACGACTTTCCTTCTCGACCTTCTTTAATTTCCAGTGCCCCCCTGAGTGAGATCCCTCTACGTGATTTCGAGAAAACAAATGACAACAGAACATGCCTTCATTGACTGAAAGCTCAGGAGATTGCCCTGCTTGCATGGTATGCAATACGGGAGAGATTCTCCTCTGTTTCACGCACGCAAAACTCTGTGCCTGTGTCGGATGTGACGGGGTCTGTCAGGGCGTCGCTGCTGGGAGAACGTATCGGATGGGTGCGAGCAGAATTAGTCTACGAACGGTGTGCCACTGCCACCGCCGCCGAGGCTCTTGTAGCGGGTGAGAGGGACACCCTTTGTGGTTATTGTTGATGCGATGGTCGCTGCTGGAGCGGTGGTGGTGTTGCCTGTACTTGCGCTTGTATTGATTCATAATGAGACAAGGCTGTCTCGTGCTTTGTAGTCGACTGTCTCGGTATTAGGAAGGTTAGATCGACTGATGCTAGCTGGTGAAGAACGTCCCTGTATAATTCTTTTCCGTTAAACCAGTTAGACACAAACTCAACGCACTACAGTCCAGCAACGCTTGCCCGGATATGAGAGGGCGCTCTGAACAGTGTGGAGCACCCAGGCGCTGCGGATCCTGCGCATGAAAGAGCCGCGTTGGTGCAACTTGCAAGCGATGGTAACAGCAGGAGGAATAAATGGCCGGAGGTGGACATCTCTTTTGGAGAACCAAGCACGTGCCGTGGCACGTGCCAGGAACGCTATCGTTGATCTCGTTCAAGTCCAAGAGACTCGTTACAACTCTGGGTCTCCCTAGAATGTGGTCTACGATCCAAAAATCCTTTCAGACATTTTTCTCATACGACAGCAATTTCGAGTTCATTGTTGGCACAGCCGACGCCGTTGCAGAAACTTCAACAGCGACAGTAACAACAAACAGGCCCACGCCCGACAGCATCATAACTGGTCCGCCAAGACTCCCACCTGAGATAGAAGTTCAAATTTTTGAGGACTGCGCCCGAAACAACCGGGAGACTTGTTTGGAACTTATACTCGTTGCACGCAGGGTACGGGTGTGGTATGTGCTTGGGCAGCTGTAAATGTTTTACCCTAACCGATAAACTCAGGATTGAACCAATTCTATACGAAATTGTCATCCTTGACAATTATGGTAGACGGTCTCAAGCGTCCTCACTGACATACAAACCGAGCTTTGAACTATTTATGGCCAATATCGACTCTAAACCACCAGAATTTTACTCAAAACACGTAAAGAACCTCTGGATTTCGACAGCTGACGATCCTTCTGCCTTCGAGCGTATTTTATCTGTCTGCAGTGGAGTCGAAAATCTATTGTTATTCTCACATAGACGGAGCATCAACCTCCCGTTCATACCCTTCTTGGAGATTCCGAATGCAGGTAGCCACCTACGTCGACTAACCTGTAAACTCGAAACCCTTTTCCCACCTTGGTCGACAATGCAAAACTTTCAACATCCCTTCTTTGCAAAACTTACCCACCTTCATCTGTATGATGAAGAGGAAGATTGGCCCGCTTATGTGGGATTCGAAAACCTTCTTTCGCTAACACATCTTGCCTTTGCATGCTGTGGT